GATGGACTTCGATTGGCAAGGGGAACGTCGAAGGTTAGTTGGATTAACAATTAAGGTCCAGACTACGGAATCACTTAAGAGCCTCCTCAAAGACGTGCCGCAGGGAGTTCTCCGCACCATATGCATACCATCGACCGATGTCGAGGAACTCCAACAGGTTCCAGCCGAGTTTCAAGAGTTCATTCGGGAGTTTGGAGTTCTCTTCAAAGAGCCCACGACGCTACCTCCACCTCGTGCCATCACCCATCGTATCGAGCTTAAGGAGGGCACGGATGCAATCAATGTCTGACCTTATAGGTATGCTTATTTTCAAAAGAAAGAGATTGAGGAGCAGGTCGAGAAGATATTACAAGATGGCCTCATTCAACCTAGCACGAGCCGTTCTCATCGTCGGTGCTCCTAGTAAAAAAGAAAGACGGAACCTGGAGGTTCTATACTGACTACCGCGTTCTTAATGTCGTCACCATAAAAGATAGGTTCCCCATTCCGACCGTCGACGACATGCTGGATGAGTTGCATAGGGAGACTTACTTCACCAAGTTAGACCTACGGGCAGGTTATCACCAGGTCAGGATGCACGAGGACGACATTCCTAAAACGTCATTCCGAACTCACAATGGCCATTACGAATACATTGTGATGTCGTTCAGGTTATGCAACGCACTGTCAACTTTCCAAGCCTTGATGAATGACATATTCAGGCCTTACCTCCGCAAATTCGTGTTGGTGTTCTTCGATGACATCCTCGTCTATAGCAAGGACCATGCCGCTCATGCCCAGCATCTTCGACAGGTATTCTCGGTCCTCCAGCAACACCAGTTCTTTGTGAAATTCTCCAAATGCGCTTTTGGGCTCCACGAACTTGACTACTTAGGCCACATCATCACATCTACCAGCGTCAAAATGGATCCCACCAAGATCCAGGCTATGGTTTAGTGGCCGCGACTCACTAACATCACTGAACTGCGAGGATTCCTCGGTCTCACCGGATACAACCGCAAGTTCGTAGAAGGGTACAGACTCATTGCACGGCCATTAACACAACTGCTGAAGAATGGACAGTTTTCTTGGACGGAAGAGGCCACCAAGGCATTTGAGGCTCTTAAAATAGCCATGACTACCACGCCAACCCTTGCTATGCCCGACTTCTCCAAACCCTTCGTTGTCGAGACAGATGCTTTGGAGCTCGGGTTAGGGGCCATTATCATGCAAGAAGGACGACCCATTTCCTTTATGAGTCGCTCCTTGGGTACCCAGCGGCAAGGATTGTCGGCGTATGCTAAGGAAATGTTGGCGGTCATTGCTGCAATTCAGTTCTGGAGGCCGTACCTGTTGGGGAGGAAATTCTTTATCTGCACTGATCAACGTAGCCTGAGGTTCTTGTTGGAACAAAGGATTACAACTCCCGAGCAACAAAAATGGGTGGCAAAATTATTGGGATATGATTATGAGATTCTGTACAGGCCAGGTAAAGAAAATCAGGCAGCTGATGCACTATCTCGCAGACCCTCAGGTGATAGCGATGATGGGTCGTCTGCTACAAATTCACCCTGAGCTCAACCAACTGAAGTACATGACAATGGCCCAAATAAGGTCCCTTTCCATGGCCCAAATAAGTTGACCACTGCCCAAAATGAGGAGCTGCCGCCAAACCTTCTTCCCAATTCAACCTCCCCCGTTGCCCCTTTCGTCGTCACCTCAAAAGATAGCGATGGATCTTCCCAGGAAATTCCTTCCGAAGAAATTGTCGCCAATTAGCTGGAAGATTATTTTTCACTGATGGCGGTTCAAGAAGATAAACATCCCGGGATCTCCTATCCCTTCACGACGCTGGGGGACGCTTTAAAACGAGCTGTTGCCGAAGATCCGTACCTGCAAACCATCAAGAAAAAAGCAGAATCCTCTTCCCCTGGGCGATTCACAATGAAAGGAGATATGCCTCTCTACGACGAGCGACTTGTTCTGTCTCCCGACTCACCTCTGATCAGCCAACTGCTGACGGAGTACCATGCTACCCCGACGGGCGGCTACTCCAGAGTGCTACGAACATACAAGCGATTGGCAGCTCAATTCTTCTGGCCGGAGATGTTGGAGACTGTTAAGAGGTTCGTCTCCAACTATGACACTTGTCAACGAGCAAAAAGTCAATCTCTTACACTTGCAGGACTTCTCCAGCCTTTGCCGGTTCCCACCCTCGTATGGGACGAGCTGTCTATGGACTTTATTGAGGGACTGCTGTCATCAGCTGGCAAGACAGTCATTTTTGTGATGGTTGATCGATTAACAAAGGCGACCCATTTCATGGGGTTATCACATCCCTACACCGCCAAGACAGTCGCGGATGCATTCATGCAGGGGATAGTGAAGCTTTGCGGCATTCCTCGCTCCATAGTAGGTGATCAGGATCCAATCTTTATCGGTCATTTTTTTGGCGTGAACTGTTTAGACTGTCAGGAACTCAGCTGCCCATGTCGTCCTCATACCATCCCCAAACCGACGGGCAAACGGAAGTGGTCAACCGCAGTCTCGAGCAATACTTACAATGCTTCACTCACCAACAACCACGGCGTTGGATGTCCTGCCTCACATGGGCTAAATTCTTGTACAACACAACGTACCATCGATCGATCGGCATGACTGCTTTCCAAGCTGTCTATGGGAGGTTGCCGCCAGCAATTCTCTTTTATCAACGGGGTGGTACCATGGTGCATGAGGTTGACCAGACCTTGCTCGACATGAATGAGGTGCTGGAAGAACTGAAGATCAACCTCCAAAACACACAGTCGAGGATGAAGCAACAGGCTGACACCGGGAGGAGGGATGAGACATTCAATGTAGGTGACATGGTGTACCTGCGTCTCCACCCATATCGACAGCACTCGGTCTACCGTCGAGCTTCTCAGAAGCTAGCTGCTCGCTTCCATGGCCCATATCGTGTCACCGAATGCATCGGGCCATCCTCTTATCGTCTGGGGCTGCCAGCGGGTTCACGAGTACACCCGGTGTTCCATGTGTCCCTACATCGCCGCTGCACCACGCCCGAAACACCGCCGAGTTCCATCATACCACCCCTTGCTGACGATGGAGCTCTTGAGCTAATTCCAGAAGCTATCCTTGACACAAATTGGGTTCGTCAAGGCAACAAGATTATCGAAGAATCCTTAGTTAAATGGCGAGCTTTACCCTCTGAAGATGCTACTTGGGAGCTGACTGTTGAGCTGTTCGACCGCTTTGCCGACTCAGGCCTTGAGGACAAGGCCCTTCTCCCAGAGGGTGGCAATAATGGGCTCGTGACACGTGGACGCCGTAAGTCAAAGACAGAGGCCCAAGAAGAGCCTTCTCGTGGCTGTCCAGGGACCGGTTATTGTAACAACACCCATTGTGTTGTTATTGTAACAACACTAGTCCCCAATCAATAGGAAGCTAGGGATGTGATGACTTTTTATTAGTTGAGTTGACCTAGTGTAAAATCAAAACAGGGGTATAATTGTCATTATGAAAAATATGTTTAAATAATAAAAAATAAAAATAAAATAAAAAAATAAAAATAAAAAAATAAAAAAATATTTTTTTATTTTCTGCCCAAAAATTTGGTCGCCGGAATTCTGCCACCGGTCGCCGAAAAATGGTCGCTGGTCACCGGAATATGCTTTTTATCGCCGGAATATGCTATTTTGTGGCCGGAATATGCTTACCGGAGTCGGAATATGCTTACCGGCGTCGGAATATGCTTACCGGCGTCGGAATCTAGTCATCGGGGTCGGAATATGCCTATCGGCGTCGGAATCTGTTGACTGACGGTCACCGGAGTTCGGTCAACGAACTTCGTTGACCGGTCAACGGTCTTCGTTGACCGGTCAACGGTCAACGACCACCGGATGTTTGGTCTACATTGTGAGATTTATGGTTTGGTTTCTCATATTTTCGTATGCCTTTTGTGGTTTGCTTTATCGTGTTTGTGGTTTGCATTAAGAAGTTTTTGGTTTGCTTTATCGTGTTTGTGGTTTGCATTGAGATGTTTCTGGTTTGTTTTCAAAAAATTTGTGGTTTGCATTGAGGGGTTTCTGGTTTGTTTTAGGAGATTTGTGGTATGCATTAGGAGGTTTCTGGTTTGTTTTTGTGGTTCGCTTTATCGTGTTTGTGGTTTGTATTGAGAAGTTTCTGGTTTGCTTTCAAAAAGTTTGTGTTTTGCATTGAGCGGTTTCTGGTTTGTTTAAGGAGATTTGTGGTGTGCATTAGGAGGCTTCTGGTTTGTTTTTGTGGTTTGTTTTAACGTGTTTGTGGTTTGCATTATGAGGTTTCTGGTGTGTTTTTGAAAATTCTGTGGTTTGCTTTGTGAGGTTTCTGGTTTGTTTTAATATATTTTTGGTTTGCATTAGAACGTTTCTGGTTTGTTTTTGTGGGTTGCTTTACAGTGTTTATGGTTTGCGTTATGAGTTTTCTGGTGTGCTTTCAAAATATTTGTGGTTTGCTTTGTGAGGTTTTTGGTTTGTTTTAGGGGATTTGTCGCATGCATTGGGAGGTTTCTGGTATGCTTTTTTGTGTTTTGTTTTACCGTGTTTGTGATTTGTATTATAAAGTTTTTGGTGTGCTTTGTGATGTGTTTGGTTTGTTTTAGGAGAGTTATGGTTTGTATAATAAGATTTTTGGTGTGATTTAAAAATATTTATAGCTCACCTTGTGGTGTTTCTGTTTTGTTTCACGAGACTTATGTTCTACATTAGGATTCTTCTGATACATCATAAAATAATAATAGAAAATATGATAAACGTTGTTGATCGTAGGGACAATTGGTGATGAGGTATCAACCATTACATTGTCATAAAGCTATCCGTATATCCTCTTCTATCATTTTAATGCAATAAACAAGGTGGGAAAATGAAAAAAATGAAAAGAATTTGGTGATGACAACATTGGAGAATCCGTTAGCGTGGAGGGAGAATTCATCCTCTTTTCCAGACCTTGAAAATCGACCCATCGAAGCAGGTAAAGAAATTGTTCTCACTTCTCCGGTGCTTTCTTCTACTATCGAGTTTTCCGGGTAGCTGGGAGGAAGTGTAAATGCAAAACATACGGTTGTGGTGTGCGTTCTACCACGACACCGTGCAGCTGCTCTATCCTCCTTGTGGGCCCCTCTCAAATACAGGAATAGAAGAATGAGAATTCGAAGAACGAACAGGAAGAGAGAAAGAGCAGGGAGCAGAGAAGAACCTCGACGATCAAAGCTGAGCAGATCTCCCTTCCGATGCCCACCGTCGCCGTCATCCAGGGCCACGCCGCCGCCGCCGGATTCACCCTGGCGCTGAGCCACGATTACGTGTTTGTGAGGAGCGACAGAGGGGTTTTGTACATGAGCGAGGTCGATTTGGGGCTTCCTTTCCCTGACTATTTCTCGGTGCTGTTCCGGGCGAAGCTTGGTTCCGTCGCCGCCCGGAAATTGATTCCTTACACGAAGGAACCAATCAATCCAATGGAGATTGAGGCCGTCGTACTGGCAGTCAGCCCGGTCAAATTGGCGGAGATGACTGCTGCCGCGGTGGAGATTGACGGAGGAAGAGTTGAAATGTGCGCATTCGATCGATATACCGGCGCGGCGACGGTCGACGTTTACGAGGAGGAAGACGGGCGGGGCGAATTTGGGTGTTTGGACTTTGGAGGGTGGGGGCAATCTGAGAGACGAAGAGGAGCACAGTTCTATGTTTTAATTTTCTTTATTCTTCTTGTAATTTTACCCTTATACCCTTGTTGTTACAATAACAACAAAAGGGGTGTTGTTATTCTATCCTGCCCCGGCCAAGAAGGGCCAGAAGATGGGATAGAAGATGGGATAGTACTGCTGCTTGCATAGGAAGCTTGGTAGTTAAGATTTGATTGCATTGCATAGGAAGCTTGGTAGTTAGGATTTGATTGCATTATTGTTGGGTTGTTTGTTCTTTGTTTTGATTTCGTAGCTGTTAGGATTTCCAAGCTTTGATAAGTGTAGGGAGAATCGGTAGATTTTCCAAATCGTAGAAGATCAGGGTATCAATCTGTGAACCCGATCATTCGGCTTTCTCCTTTATATAGGATTGAATTGAATAAAAGGGCAGCAGACTTAATTAGTAGAAAAAAACTAGAATACACTGGCGGGTTCTCGCCATAAGAAGAACAAGCTTACACCCTTGATAGCCAAGTTCCAACACTACCCCCTTTTGAAATGTCTGTTAAGAAGAGCAGCCTGTCTGCTCGCAACAAAAAACAACAATAGGCAAGCTATTGTTGAGGTCAAACAATCATGCTGCAGGAAATGGCACAAAACGTTGGAGATTTGGCAAGTCGTTCTAGTTCAAGGAGGTGTTGATGGAGCCTAAGACGCCAATGGAGAAGCAGGATTCCGGGAAGCTGAAAGCTGAGATCAAGAGATGGGCTAAAGCTGTTGCAGCTTATGCCCGGCAAGACAGTGGCCACCTTGGTAGCTCCTTGAGGAAGAGCAGCAGGATTAGAAGCTCCTCCGGTTCTTCTTCTTCACCATCACCATCGTCATTACCACCACCATTCTCAACATCGTCATCATAAATATCACCAAGATTATGAAAGATCTCATCAATAGTCATAATGTTCATGTCTTTTGTAACTAACATTTGACCTGTACAGATTCAATTAGCTAGTCCATTGAAGAAAAGATCTTTTCTCTTCTTTTCATCTGATTTCATTTCAATTTCTTCAATGAACTGAATAGAACTCGATATGTTCTGCTATACAGAGGAATATAGCATAACAATGGGAAGAAACAAATCGAAAGAAAGAAAGGAAAAATAAAAGGAAGACTACTTGGCTTACAAAATTGGAAAAGAAGCAGCTAACCTTGGTCTATAATGGTTTGTATTATCCCTACAGTTAGTCTTTCTCACTCCAGCTTCTTTTCTTCTGAATTCTTCTCCCGGCTTGGGAAGCTCTTCAGAAGCTGTTTAGCACAGGCATCCTGCACTTGCTCTGCGTTCCAGACTCGTCTTGCTCTTACCCACGCCGGTTCCTGAAAAAAAAAAAACATCATAAGAGGACCCGGGATGCTCATTTACTATGATTTTAAGGGGGAGGAGCAATTTTTCATGTACCTCAGGAACGAACTGAGAGAATCCAAACTTAATCAGCAGAAGAACATGTTCCATGATGAGAATTCCTGCAAGTCCTGGTTCTATCTGCCATTTCCTCTCCTGATCGTACATGCATACTAGAAGAACCGAGTTGGTGCAGATCGACATGACTATTAGGAACTATAAGTTCAAAAGAGAGAGCCTCCATATCAGTATGTCGGAGTCAGAAAGAAAAAAAGCTGAAGTGTTCTCTTGAAGTCGGTTTGGATGAACATAACAGAAAAAAGTTGGTCTTTGTGAGATACCTGGTATATGGTAATCCAAGCTCCAATAGTGGCAGCAGCACGAGGGACGGGGCTTCTGAACATGGTGAGCAGCTTCAGTGCATCTGTTCTAACCTCCGTGAAGCTGTTCTGCAAGAGAAGAAGACTCCCATCCCAAGTGTGAAGGTCCGAAAATTTTGAGCGAAAGGGGATTCAAATAGTTCAAGGGGAAATGGAACAAACCACGGCAGCAAAGACAAATTCTAGGGGAAATGCACATGCAAACATCATAATCATTCCAAACTGCAATGCCAACTGCAAATAGTCTGCAAAAAAGGAAAAGAAAAAGAGAGGTCAGATTGAAGCAGTAGCTAGAGAAGCACTTGCTATTCAGACCAGTGTAGATTCCACCGTTATTTGTATGGAAGAAAATGTTGTTAAATCCAACCTTAAGAAAATTTCCAGGTCAGAGTTGAACCCTAAACCTAGATATATCTAACAAATTGAAGTTAAAGCTTACCATCAAAAAGGCCGTCTTCTAATTCATCGCCTATGCTTGCATTATAAGAAGGCTTTAGGTACTCTTTCTCCACCTTGGAGTGGAAATGAACCTTCTTGTTGCCTGATCCACTGCGTCGGTGTTTCTTGTTTCTTCATAGTAGATAGATGTTCTTAATCAAAACTACACATGGAACAATGTAGCACAGAGAGAGAGACAGAGAAGGACCTTACCTGACATCCCTATACTTCTTGATGCTGTACTTGATGTAAGGTAGTGAATGTTCCAACACATTCTCCAATACCTATGCAATATATTGATCCCAAACCAGTTAACCCAAAGGCGACCAAGAGGTTTTCTCAGCACCTGAAGACAAATGGGTGCTTTTACCTGGAAGATAATGAGACGCTGGATCAACAGCTGACGAAGGGTCGTGAAGTTACGGTGGAGAAGTGCATGATAGAAAACTCCAATGTACGACTGCATGAAGTACAACCCGAACACCTGCCACCATAATCACTTTATGTGAACCCAATGCAACTGAAATTAAGAAAGTAAGCATGAAATGCCGATTGTTGGATCAAATTACTTTGTACACCAAGCTGTCAGCCTGAAACTGTGAGTTCTCATTGTTTTCATACTTTATGAGCCTCACTGATACTCTAGCTCCTAGCTTTGTAAAGTATTGGATCAGAATAATATAGCAAGCGGTTAATGCAAACCTGAAACAGAAAAGGGTCAGAGAAGGGTGATTCAAAGGGTGTCATTGTTTTTGTATTCGACGAATTCATATCTTACTTGGTAATGTCGGACTTAAGAACCTCATAGAGATGAGCATAGGCCAGTTCAAAGGGCAACTGAAGACAAACAATGCCTAAGATAATAAGAGAATTGTTCCTGAACCGAACCAGGTGGCCGAACCATTCGTATCTCTGATACACTGCTTTCTCTCTATTCCTATCCCCCATAGCTTTCAGCAGCTCTAGACGAGTCTTTATGGAAATGCATTCCATTCCTAAGAACTTGTATCCTTGTCCTGCCGTAACTGAGCAATTTATCTGCCACCTATTCACCACGATCCAGACACAAGAGAGATAAATAAAAATGTTGTGTAAGACGGACACCATAATGACATCAAGATACTGGCATACCTCGATATAAGGGAATAATTCTTCCGTTTCCAGAACTGGAAAAACAAGACAGCCCATAAGGTTGTGCTTGTGAAGAAGACAGGGAGGACTAAGAACTGCATCGAGCTGATTAAAACGAGAGAACCAAACGGTTCATAACCAGAACAAGAGTGCAAGGTAAAGGAAGGGAAAGAAGATGTGTTTGAAGGCTTTTACCCAAAATTGACCAACTGCACTGTGACTGCCAGTAGAGCAGGAAACACTGTCCAACGGGCATACATCCGAAGGAAAGCAAAGTAAATGGCAATCTAGGCAGAAAAGCAAGATGATTGTTGGTATTATTAGCATGATGAGCTAGCCAAATTTTAGTTAACAAATCTGGACAATCTACCTTTAATCCGAAGTATGAATACATGTCATCAATGTCCTGGTTAGTGAAGTTTCTCTTGTTGAGTACCCAACTTCTCAAGAGCTTCTTCCTCTTAACCTCGTCTAACCAGAAAATGATTAGCAATAAACATCATAAGTTAAGTTGCTGCTAGTCGTTCTAATGATAAAGTTAAGTATATACGGACCGTGAAGAGGGAAAACGTGCTTGACCATGCCTTCATATTCCAAGGTCTTCAGTAAAGGTTCCTGGATTTTCCAGACTAGTTCTCTTCCATCCAGTTTTAGAATTATGTCCGACTGCCTTCTGTTTCGCTGTAGATTTATAGGAAATCAAGTAAATTCGACTATGTACTTGTTTCACAAACAAATAATGACATTTTAGATTTGGTTCGTAAATTAGAAACAATTGTTCTTACAATGCCATACAACATGTGCTGGTAACACCTGAAACGTTCACACCAGCTGAATAATTTGCCATCTGGCTGTCTCAAAAATGCATTCACATCCTCCCACTGAAAGGGGAGATCGATTCCTGAATGTAGTAATACAATAAAATCATGGTCAATTCGAGGAAAATCATGGAAAGGTTTGAAAGCAACCAAGTGAAATGTAATTTGTTTTTACCGATGTAAGTAGGTTTCCTAAGCTGCAAATCTGCTGCAGCCTGCCCCAATCTCTCCAGAGTTGCAGACAGCTGAAACAAAGACAAACAAGGAAGAAAGAACTCTCCATGAAAATGTCATTGCTATATATTCCGATTGGTTATAGCAACACAAATGAACATGATATTTCATAGAAAAAATGCATATGAAAAAGGGCAAAGAACCAACCTTGATGAATCCATCTGTGAAGCCACGAACCTTTTCGACGGTGAATCCAACATGTGTGAGTTCCTTAAGGAGAACCTCAATGCAATCGACATTGTCATCTTCTTGCTTGAGAATTCTGTTTCGAACCACCAAGCCTATCTCGAAACCAGGTTGCTCTTCTTCTTCCCCTTCATTCCCATTCATTTCCAAGTATTCCACACCCCCAAGAAACAGAATCCCGCGCAGAGAGAGATTGGAGTAAAGAGAGAGCTTTTGAAATTTCAATTAACCCAATAAGGACAGTCCAATACGGAAGCCAAAGATACAAACTTTCTGGAGGAAATGGCTCAAATCAAACCATGCAAAAACTGGGTTTCTAAATTTGACATCAGAAAGCCAAGCCATCAAAAGATCAAAGGTTAACTGTAACAGAGAAGAAAGAAAGAAAGAAAACCTTTTTTTTTTTTTTTTTGCTACTCAAATTACTCAGAAAGGATCGAAGTTTTGGTGTCCTTTTTTAGCGTCTGAAAGAGCCAAGTAGGAAAAGAGCTTCGTTCCACCAAAACGACAATGTGGGTTCGATCATCAGAGCAACATAGAGAGAAAGCAAAAGCCTGGAATGTGGGGGAGCGAGCTGCTTGTTTGAATCATGAGAGGCAGTTTCACAGGGAAAGAGACACACGTGTCACGTGTGGGGTTTCTCGAGACAAGGTTTTGGCAGTTTTCTTTTTCTGTTTTCACTTTTCCGCGGTTTCTTTACTATTGTTTTGCCATTCATCAATCATCATGATGGAATTAAGGAAGTAAAAATAACCATGTACACCGATTCGAATTCGACCTAATATGATACGATAAAACTTGAATTCTAAGTCGAATTTGAACGATTTTTCATTGGAATATAATATATGAAAAATAAGTTTTTTCTTCAGCTCCGAACTTAAAATTTAGACCAGTACAAAGTGGAAAACCTGACGTCGTTTCACCGGGAATCACCTGCACCCAAGAAGAACGTGGTGCACACTGATAAAAAGAGGCCGTCTTGAGTTAGTTTCTTAGAGGGTTGTAACCTTCTGTAAAACAACCAATCAAGGTGTTCGACACTAGCTCCCTCTATTGGGTGAGATGTCCACATAATACAAAGCCAAGACTTGACTCACACTCGTGATATCGACCCTTACTCCTCCCAATCTATGGTGCTCTAATTGACATAATAAGATTTTATCTCTCATGGGTCAATAACAAAATCAATTTATCTCGATCAATGAAGAATTGAACATCTAAACATGCACGTATTGGATATGAACTAAAAATATCAAGATAGAGTACTTATACAATCATTCAATCAAGCTAAACATGACTAGGAGAGAGAATAAAGTATAAAGTTCAAGATCTTCAATCTCATCTCTAGGATTGATCTTCTAGCTCTAATTGGGTTGGGTACCTTCAAAATAGCTCCAAGAACCCTCATATAACACTCTCCATCTCTTTGGAAAGCCCCTTGGATGTTTTG